GGTGCAGTTCACACTACTCACCTTGTTGTCATGTGACCGACTGGCATCATGGGGTCACACACCTCACGGTCTCCCTCCAGGAGAATCCCCCAACTAGCATATCTGGTCCTTCTGGGTTTCCCCCTCTTTATACTGCCTTCACCCCGTCCCTCGCTCTGAGTGTCTGAGCAGGCCTCATGATTCACACCTTTTGAAATTGAAAAATAAATATATATTATCTTTGATTACTTTAATATACACAGCGAGAGATAATGAATTGACTATATTTTCAGTATTGGCTCCTTGTGGTGAAAAATGATTTGTGGATTTAACTGTTGGAGCTGCATGTGTGGAGAGTTGTCGTGACTTTCCGGAGACTTAGCTGTCACCAAAGTTTGGATTAATGTCAGTGAAGATTCGGTGGACGAGCTGTTGCGATGAGTTTTTATGTTTCTGGCGTCAAATCTGCAGCGACAAGCTGTTGAACTGGTTTGTACAGGAGTCATAGAAAAGTACAAGTATTGTCCAGATTTGTGTTTATATTGGTGTGTGTGTGTGTGTGTGTGTGTGTGTGTGTGTGTGTGTGTGGGCAGTGAGGGGTCGGTGGGGTTTCATGTTACCGCTCGTCCTCTCGTTACCCTCCTCCGCTCTAACACTGACGTGTCCTAACATCAGCTCTGAGAATCTTTACCATTAAACACTGAACTGAGGCTGTTTGTATGAACAGAATCTCCCAGCGAGTCGTTGTTGACTGTGACTATGACATGAACACTTTTATTATTTACTCATATTCTGTCATTGGAGAGCAAAGTGCTTTTCTCCATTCGATTGTAATTTGTAGATGATTTTACTAATTAATTAGCAATAATAATAATTATATATAAAATACTCTGGCTTGTGTTAGTTTCCCCGTTGGACCAAAGGTTTAAAAAAAAAAAAAAACGTGTGCAGTGAGTTTACGTTAATTTGATCTGATTGGGGTAATGTGACCGTCTGGGAGGTTTGTTGTTGCAGTATAACAACATCATAGTGATTCACTCCGCTCATGAGACCTCTTTAATTAGATCTGATGAAGGGCTGCTGTGCTGCATCGTCTCCAGATGTGTTGCTCATGGATCTGTGGATACTCGTCGGTGAATATGTCAGGTGGTTTCATATTTTATTATTATTATTACATAGTCAGAGTTTAAAATTTGACAGTGAGAGCGCTGGTCAGAGCCTCATTACATCTCAAATACAAATGTACTCATCGTGCAATGCGGTGAAGAGAAGAGAAAGTTGCTTGATTTGTTTTAACCTATGGTTTTAACGTGTTTGTCTCAATAAAAAACAGCCTCCCTCAGTGAAGAAGACACAGGCGTCTCATCTCAGGTTGAGCTCCAGGCTTCTTCAGCCCGAGAACTTGAGGAGTGTGACTTTACAATTTAAACGAGGAGATGAGGCCGTGTCTACATTAATGCAGATATCTTAAAAGGACATTTTACCCTTTGTTTTTTTAATAATATCTCCGAACACAATTTAGTTCTGGTCTCTGAAGCAGGATCCAGGCTCTGTGGATACTTCGGCCTCTAGTGCATCAAGTTTAGATTATTTCTGCCCCTCCGCCGTTAATCCCTCTCTCATTAACTCGATATCTCAGGATGAAGGAATTATTTCAAGATCAAGTTTGTGGTCAAAGGTCAAAGGTCACAGCTGACTTTACTTTCCATGACCATTTTTTTTATTGACGAATCAAAGACTTGGATTGAAAATGACAGTTTGTGTAGCTGTGAAGTGGCAGCTGACGTGGACTCACGGCCTGAATCCTCCACCGGTCACAAGCCACTGGTGGTGGATTCACACCAGACTTTGCTCTTTGCATGTGGGGACATTGTGCTCACTTCCTTGCACGAGGCCGAGGGGGAGACTTCGGAAAGTCAGAGGAAAAGTGAAGCTGAAGCTGTGAGTGTTTGTCATATTACACCATGAAGATGAGATGGAAATAAACAGCGACAATAGCAGGTTAGAAAAGCAGCAAGAGCACAGGTGCAGGGTTTGCAGTTTTGATCCTGTGATTAAGAGGTGCTACATGAGCATCCTGTCGCTGCAGCTCTGATCCTCCATCTGTGTTCTGACTCACACACACACACACATGCATGCAAAGTCATGCAAACACACACACACACACACATTTCCATGTAAAAGACACATAATTTAAAAATGTCTAAAATTGTGCAGTGTTTCAAACATTTCTCGATCTCTTTCCGCATCGCTCGTCTCCGGGTTTGTCTTGTTTATCAGCTGTTTTCGGTTCTCGGCACTGAGCTGCGTTCAGAGGCGTTCGTCTGCGATCATCTCAGTCTGGATGGTGAATCTCATTTACATAAGGTGGCGTGATGTTCCACACCAACATGCTGTTTCAATTGCATGTTGGTGTACAGGTGTGATGCAGTGTCAAATTTTAAATTCAGTCAGTCTGTTTTTTTTTTCCTGTGTGTTATTATTATTTGTTTTTATTAAAAGAGCTCCTGATCCAGTTTCAATAAATATTTTGGGGGAATATTCATATATATGTATATATATATACAGGATATGTATATATATATACAGGATATGTATATATATATACAGGATATGTAAAGATATCAAAGAGGAGAATATAATAATACATTTCAGACACTACTTTTACTCCATTACATTTAACAAACACATATAGTTACTAGTTATATCTCAAAATAAAGTTTAATAAGCTTCTTATCAGCATAACAATCATGTACTGATACAGAAACAGACATGGAATACTCCAAATTAGCTCCAATCTCAATTAGCAACAGTTTTGGAAACCTGTGCACAGATATCAATCTAAAATCGGGTTTATTTTTCTTTCAATTAAACACTGGTAAGACAGCAGCGGACAGTAAATGTGGGCAGAGAAGGAGAATGATTCGATCCTCTAAAGCCTGTAATGAATTCAATATCCAGTTTATATGTTGTATAAAAATATTACAATACTTTCATTTTCTTAGTACATTTACAGATAATATATTTATATATATACTTGAACTTAAGATTTTAAATGCATGACTTTTATTTTGTAACTGAGTAGTTTCAAATTACGGTACTGGTACTTTTACCTAATTAAAGTATCTGAATACTTCATCTACCACTGCACATCTGGCCACACCCCCTCCCACAGCAGTCCACAACCATTTCCCACGAGGAAGAGAGAGAGAGAAAAGGAGAGAAGGAGAGAGAGAGAGCGAGAGAGGAGAGGAGAGGAGAGGAGAGGTGCGAACGGTTCACATCAAGATAGAAAAGAAAGTGAGAAAGTAGGAGGGAACGAGGGAGGAAAGGAGGGAGGGAGGGAAAGATTTCTCTGAGGGAGGGAGAGAGAGAGAGAGAAACAGAGAGAGGAAGAAGTGTCAGGAACGAGCAGAAGCCGGCATCGGTTCCATCCTGTCGCTTCACAGTCGACGCACAGGAGCATGTTAGCGCCACAGAACCTCAGTCGCAGTCGGGACTACAGGCCCCACAATACACTGGGACACCTGGCAGCCAGCACCTGGGAACTACAGGTACGACAGGAGGAGGAGGAGGAGGAGGAGGAGGAGGAGGAGCGGTACAGAGAAAGACAGAAGTAGGACAGAGAGGATGATGGGAAAACAGTGGAAGTGCAGCTTGTACGTGTTCACTTGAATTCATCATTACCTGGAGAAACGAGAACAAGAGGAACACACACACACACACACACACACACACACACACACAGTATGGTGTCATTAGTCACTCAGCTACAGCGGGACGCAGGTATTGAGGGTGGCTCCATGACAACTGTCTGTATGTGTGTGTCTGTGTGTGTGTGTGTGTGTGTGTGTGTTGTAATTTCCCACTGTGCGGATGACGAATGTTCGGGAACCCTGCTCAACCTGCTGTGTGATTCAGCCAGATTTAAAGACGCCTGGACCATCGAGGGGGGGGGGGTGTCCACCTTCAAACATGTTGTTAATGATGGACGACGTCTTAATTTCCCTGAATTCCTTCCATTAAAAAGCCCAGAACACCTGCTCCGAGATAAACTGCTATCCATAAAAAAGAAATTTGTCAGTGGACCCCGTCCTGTGTTGTGGCTCGGCAGCTGCAAAGCATTCTGGTCAACTGAGGCTTAGCAGACGCCGTACTCACTTTGCGCGTTGTATCAGTAAGTGGACACGTTCTCCTCGTGTATGAGACACTTCGTCATGACTCGGGCTGTGTTTGGACCTGTTGTCCTGCTACAGAATGAATGTGGGACCCGTCTGACGCCTCCCTGATGGTTCTGGTGATGGATCAGAATCTTAACATCTAAAGTGCCTAAAACCTTTTCACACAGCGGCACAGAGCTATTAGTGGCACTCTCTTAGCTGTGGGCACCAGACGGTTGTCTACCTCGCCCCTGATTGCTGGAGAAATACTGTCCTTCAGTCTTTGCTTTTTACTCATCAATTATCAGATGACTCTTCCTCATCATGTCTGAAAACAGCGTCACATTCCGCACACATGACCTCGATAGACATTGTGTCATTCGAAAGGTGGCACTTGCACAAAAATGTCTGTTTTCAAAAATCCTCTAAAGCTGTTTTCCGACGTGAACTCGTGGAAATGTCCAGAAAATTGCGTCCGAACTTTGTGTTTGTCCTGTGAAGCAGCAGATCGTCCGACTCGTTCACGACAACATGTGGGGGACATTCAGGCGAGGGGCGGAGCCTGTAGAGCAGCAGGAGGCGGGACATGAAGTGTTGTTGTTTACAGCTCATAAACAACAACACTCAAGTTTATGAAAATGTCTGCAGCAACCGACTCGGACATTTTTGTTCTCGCTTACAGCCCCTCTGGAAAACTTCAGGAAAATGTCTGAGAGCAGCGATAGTTTTATTTTTCTCAACTTGTGTCGTTGCTCAAAAAAAAAAAAGAGAAGTTACCGGCTTCTGCAAAACGGCCCCAGAGAAACTTAGAGCTGAAACATTGTGCATTTCAGATGGTGATAGTGATATTTGTGCGTTTGTGTGTTACAGGATGACGTGCACATTAAGGAGATCAGTATCACACACCATGTGAAGGAGGGATCAGAGAAGGCCGACCCTCGGCAGTTCGAGCTCCGCAAAGTCCTGGGACAGGGCTCCTTCGGCAAGGTACGTCTCCATGTGTGTGTGAGTGAGTTTGTAAGTGTGGGTTTCCTCTCCACTCAGATCTGCGTAATGTTTCCCTCGTGCCAGTGTTTGAGAGCCCGTTGCCATGGAGACGGCCCTCCTCACTCTTAATATGGACGTCTTTATGAATGGACCACTGCTCAGAGTGTGTGTTTGTGTTTACGTTAATCTACACAAGAAAATAGAGCTAACCCAAACAAACTAACACACACACACACACACACACAAAACTCTCTTTGATACCCGTCTTTACTTATATATATTCTATATATATATATAACTACGCACATTTCACACACAGATACACACAGATATACACACATGAAGCAAACACATCGTAATGTTGAACTGTGTTTGTGTGTAGGTGTTTCTGGTGAGGAAGATCTCAGGGCCAGACGCCGGTCAGCTGTACGCCATGAAGGTCCTGAAGAAGGCCACACTGAAAGGTACACAGAGCGACGTGAAGATCTCCATTCTTTTCTTTTCTGGTTGTTTTATTTATTTGTGATTCAACTTGAGCTGACTCCGATATTAACTGGTGAGAACATCAAATGTCACTGTGGCCTCACAACACACATCTTAGTTTTTGTTAACGCAACATCTCGGGAACACTTTGAGGCAATTTCTTCAGATTTGGTACAAACGTCTGAATCTGATCCGATTTTGGTGATTGAAGGTCAAAGATCAAGGATGTGGTGACGGGGGGTCATTTTAGTTTTGTCTGCTACTGAATCTACGAAACTTAAATTTAAGAGAGTTAAACAAAGACATCAAACGAGAGATAAAGCCTTACAGGACTCTAGGTTTGGATTCTACATGTTTCTGTGAGTGTATCACAGAATAAAAGGCTGGCAGAGTCTTCGGTGACGGTTCTGTCGGCTGAAACCTTTTATGGATTTGTTTCTCCAGAGTTTCAGGGTGTTTTTTCTCCTGTTTGCTCACTCGTCATCGCCCAAAATGGAATTTCGCACCTTAACATGAGACCTAACAGACACAAAGCACTGAAGAGAAGAACTGAACTCCTGAAGTGACGTTTAACTCAACTCATACACCACCTGCTGGTGGGAAAAATACAGCTGTGTGTGTGTGTGTTTCCTGCTTCTTCCTCTCCTCTCTGGCTTCCTCTTTGTTTTTGTATTTTTCCTCTTTCTACGTTTGTTTCTTCCTTTTCTCTGTCGTCTTATTTTCTTCCTTGGAGTTTATTTTCAGCCTCTCAGCCTGTGATTCAGTGTCTCATATGCTGCCATCTGGGAGCCAAAGCAGAAGCCAAATAAGGGAGGATGTTTTGTTTTGGCTTTTCAGTAAGAGCTTTATCTGGTGATTTATGTGTGTGTGTCCGTGTGTGTGTGTGTGTGTGTGTGTGTGTGTGTGTGTCCAGTGCGTGACCGGGTCAGGACAAAGATGGAGAGGGACATCCTGGTGGAGGTCAACCATCCCTTCATCGTAAAACTGCACTACGGTGAGTCAGACCTGCCTGATGAGTCACCAGCTCCCCACCAGCCAATCGGAGCTCATCGCTGCTCTGTTTCGCAAGCAACAGACCTGGCAGAGGAACCGTTCAATAAACAGGGATCTTCTCAGATCTCATATAAATTCACCGTCTTCCTCTTCCCTCCCTTTAGCATTTCAGACGGAGGGGAAGCTCTACTTGATCCTGGATTTTCTCAGAGGGGGAGATCTCTTCACTCGTCTCTCTAAGGAGGTAAAACCCGACACAGTTCAGAACGGAGACGCTTAGTTCCTGTGTCTGTGTCATGTGGGATTCGCCACTGGCCCGCCCCCTTAGCAGGCTAACGATTGTGAGTCTGTGACTGTGATGCAGACTGTGATTCTTCTGATCCATAGTCACCAACGTAAACATTGGACCATTTGTTCCTGTTTCGTTAGTTTCCTTACTGTCAGAGGAGAAGTATAATGTGAGAGATTCAGTGCAACAAAGCTTAGTATAGTAATAGTGTGTGTGTGTGTGTGTGTGTGTGTGTGTGTGTGTGTGTGTGTGTGTGTGTGTGTTTTACAGGTTATGTTCACAGAGGAGGATGTAAAGTTCTACTTGGCTGAACTTGCTCTGGCACTCGATCACCTTCACGGCCTCGGCATCATTTACAGAGACCTCAAACCTGAGAAGTAGGCACACACACACACACACACACACACAAACACACACACACACTGTGTGTACTCTGTTTCCCCGCAGATATTTCCTTCAGAATACAAAAAGTATTTGTGTTGTTTCAGCATCCTGCTCGACGAGGAAGGACACATCAAGCTGACTGGTGCGTAATATTACACCTATTTCTGTGTGTGTGTGTGTTTACTCAGTATTTTTTACTGCTGCCTCAAGCTGCCGTAAATTACGATAACGTATATCTCGCTGATTTCTGTGTGTGTTCAGACTTTGGCCTCAGCAAGGAGTCAATCGACCACGAGAACAAAGCCTACTCCTTCTGTGGGACGGTGGAGTACATGGCTCCTGAGGTGGTGAACAGGCGAGGACACACGCACAGCGCGGACTGGTGGTCATACGGTGTGCTCATGGTGAGAAGACGCTGCGGGGAGGGAACGGTGTCATGATGCTGACTGTGATTTTTGTAATAAAGCAAGTGATTACAGTCAAGGAGGATCAAGCCGATGTCTCCAAATACCTTGTTTTATTAACTTTGCTGTCACGTAAGTTCTAATAAAAAACAGCAAATCCTCAAAATCTCAAATCTGTAGCAACTAGATTTCAAACACAGGCTTAACATTAGCTTTGGCTCCTGCTATACCAGCCTGTAAGTATTATTTCTCTAATAAGTATTAAACAACAGTCAAACTCAGAATATTCCAGTATTTTGCATCTTCTTTCTTCAGTATTATTTCCATTATTAACTCTCTTATAAAGGAAACAAGCAAAAGATGTGAATAGAAACAGTGACGGTCAATCAATCATCAAAAGAGTTTCAGGAATCCCTCTGAAATGCGAATGGACCAAAGGTTCAAACCAGGAAGACATTTTGTACGTTGTTGCTGCTGAGCAGAGAAACATCACTTATATTTTTGACACTGTTAAAGTTCACACTTGCTTCTTTCATCACATCTTCATCTCACCTGTGTGAGGAGAACGTTTTTCATGCCGGTGACGTGTGATTCAAATATCAACAGTTTGACTTATGCAGAAAGTTGTTGAGGTGATTGTTTGTTCAGGTTCTCGAGTTATTATCCTAATGAAGGTTAACATTACACACTTTATAACCTGTGTTGTTGTGTCAGCTCAATATATATATATATATATATATATATATATATATATATAGTATATTTAGATATTCATTTAGATATTTATGCCTAATGTGCATCTTTGGACCCACGTGGCAGTGACACATCAGCATTCAATGAATTTATCAACAAAATGAAATTCTTTGTCTTTATCTCTTTTGCTCCATTTTAAAAGTCTCTGTCATATTTATAGTTTTTTCGTTGTCTGTCTTTGCAGCAGGAGCGTTACAGAATTATAAACCTCTGACCGCTGGTGTTGTTTTTCTTTTAGTTTGAGATGCTGACGGGAACGCTGCCGTTTCAAGGCAAAGACCGGAAAGAGACGATGACCATGATCCTCAAGTAAGACACTTTACACCGTCTGTAAACTCCTCTCCAATCACCACCTAACAGCTTTCATTACAGCGCAGTGCACATCTGAGAGGAGGCAGGCACAGACAGTATCAGAGACAGAGAGAGACGACGTGAGACTTCCCTCCTTCCTCCTCCCTCTGCAGAGTCAGCCCGGGGGGAATTGAAGGATTTATTATAGAGGAGATAAAGTGCAGCACTCAGGAGGAAGAGGAGGAGGCCAGGGGCAGAGCAGAGGAGGGTTAAGAGAAATGGACAAGTCTCAAGTATTCTGATAGCAGTTTAAAACGCTGAGGGAGGAGACGGAGGAAGATGAGGAGGGAGGAAAAGCTAAGAAAGAAAAAATAACAAATCACAGGAAGTATTAACCCCTCCTGTTTCCTGTCTCTCACCCCGAGTTTCTGTCGGTGAAAGAACGACTGAGTGTTTCCTGTGTGTGTGACACATTATCGTCTAGTCTGGATATGCAATATGGACATTTGATGACAGTTGCAGTTCACAGCAGTTCTTCTGTGTCTTTAATAATAAAAGTCTTCTCTTCTTCTCCTCTTCTCCTCTTACAGGGCAAAGTTGGGGATGCCACAGTTTCTGAGCTCAGAAGCTCAGAGTCTCCTCAGGAACCTTTTCAAACGCAACCCGGCCAACAGATTAGGTAAAAGCGTCCATTTGGTCTGTGATGTAATCGATAAAGTCGCCCCACATCTGAACGGATTTAGAGTATGAGTCAAATGCAGAGGAGGAAGTCGATTTCCATCCTCTCCATTTTCTCTCAGAATAACCCTTTCATCTAAAGCCTGCTGCGTCTCATTGGCCAGTTTGTTCCGCTGCCCCTTAACCTGATCTACGTGTCACAAGTAGCTGCGGCCGAATCAGACTTTATTCCCAGAACTTCTCCTTATTTACACAAAAAAAATAGTTGAGGCAAAAATGACTGGTTGTCAAATGTGTCTTTGGTTCTCATTAAGAGGATAATATTATTTTGAGGCATTAACTAAATTATGGGAGTTAACAGGTTGATGTGCTGTTGAAAATATTTCCCGACAAATCTATTATTCCCTCCTGTTAGTTAAAAATCTGAATATTTAGTCAGAGCTCGTTAGTCCTGATTAAATGATGATGTGGCTAATCAGCACCTTTGAGTCACCCTGCCCCCTACTGGTGTGTGCTGTACTGCACTGTCCTGACAAAACTCATGATGATGATGACGATGAAGATGATGATGATGATGATGATGGAGGTTATGTGTGTCTTTGTGTTCCAGGAGCTGGACCAGATGGAGTGGAGGAGATCAAGAGGCATCACTTCTTCAACACCATCGACTGGAACGTCAGTGTTAAAATAAAACATTTGCATTTTCTTTTCATCAGTTTGTCTCGACATGTGTTTTTTTCTCGCTCCCGCCTGAGTTTCCCAACATCTTCCTCTCGCCTCAGAAACTGTTCCGCAGAGAGATCCCCCCTCCTTTCAAACCGGCTGCAGGACGACCTGATGACACGTTCTATTTCGATCCAGAGTTCACAGCTAAAACACCCAGAGGTACAGACTGTCACTGCACCTCACCTCACCTCCTCCTCCTCTTCATCGCCACGCTCTGCTGAGCCGAACTACGTCCACGGCAGAGTCTGATCATTGAGCGACGAGGATAAACAGCTGTTTGTGTGTCTGTCTCAGATTCTCCGGGTGTTCCTCCCAGTGCCAACGCCCATCAGCTGTTCAGAGGATTCAGTTTTGTGGCTATAACAGAGGAGGAAACACAACCACTACCTAATGCTATAGTTCAGGTACAAACACACACTGACACACTGTGTTTCATGTGTCATCTTCCAAACAAACAATCAAATGAAATCTTGGTCCCAGTAAAAACATTTTCTTACTCCAGAGTTACAAAGAACCAAATTAAAATCCTCCAGATCAATGAGTCAGTGGACGCACTCTGACTTGATGTCCAACCTGCTCAGGTTTGTTTTTCCTTCGTAACTCTGTCTTTTCATGTAGCAGCTGCACAGAAGTACGTCCCAGTTCTCAGACACCTACGAGATCAAGGAGGACATCGGGGTCGGCTCATACTCCATCTGCAAACGCAGCGTTCACAAAGGAACCGGCATGGAGTACGCCGTCAAGGTAAAACACAACCGTGTGCAGCGTGGTGTCTCGTGTCTCGCTCTCCAGCGCCGTAAAAAACACTGTCCGTTCCCGTTGCAGATCATCAACAAGGTCAAGAGAGACCCGACGGAGGAGGTGGAGATCCTGCTGAGATACGGACAACACCCCAACATCATCACCCTGAAGGACGTGAGTCACGCTGAACATGACATTGAGCTTTAAAGAAACAGTGGTCCACTTTATAATTGATTTCCCTTTGATCAGTTTATTCATTAATAGTTTCAGCCGTCGTCTTTCTTTCCCTCGAACTGAGGAAAATAAAAGAGCTGATAACTGTTTTTTATTCTGACTCTCTGATGATCTGGATCCATCATTATTATTCTTGTTACATCAGAATATGTTAGGAACAAACCCACAGAACATTTCAGTGACCGAGCTGCTGTGACTCGTGTGTTTCCGTGTGGCAGGTGTATGACGACGGCCGCTCCGTGTTTCTGGTGACGGAGCTGATGAAAGGAGGCGAGCTGCTGGATAAAATCCTCCGACAGAAGTTTTTCTCTGAGAGAGAAGCCAGCGCTGTTCTCTACACCATCACCAAGACGCTGGAATACCTGCACGTGCAGGGGGTACGACTCTCGTTCCTGGTTTACGGCGTGTTCAAAGAAAAGTAAAACAAAGGGATGAAGGGAAAAGTATAAACGAAATAAACTTTAAAGCCTCGTCCTCCTGTGTGTGCAGGTGGTGCACAGAGACCTGAAGCCCAGTAACATCCTGTACGTGGACGAGAGCGGGAACGCCGAGTCCATCAGGATCTGCGACTTCGGTTTCGCCAAACAGCTGAGAGCGGAGAACGGCCTGCTCATGACGCCGTGTTACACCGCCAACTTCGTCGCACCAGAGGTAAGTCGCTGTGTCCACAGATACACACAGACGTGTTTCAGTAAAGATAGAGAAGAGGAATTATATTGACACCCTGCTGTGTTTCTGTCTTTGTTGCAGGTGCTGAAGAAGCAGGGTTACGATGCCGCCTGTGACATCTGGAGTCTCGGAGTCCTGCTCTACACGATGTTAACAGGGTTTGTGTTTAACAGTTTACTGATTCATCCGACAAAGAATCACTACATCCGCATTCGTCCGTCTGTAATCGTTTCATTCCCGGAGCATGACTCAGAATGTTTTGTTAATCAGGAAGTGAAGTGGCACCTTCGGATATTTTGGGTTTGCCCAGGACGAAATATCGTCTCCTGATGAGTCTTGTTTAGGTTCAGTAGAAATCTGGGTCTCAAAGATGTGAAAACCATCTCGATTCTCCTCCGTCTGTCTCCAGCTTCACCCCGTTTGCTAACGGTCCGGAGGACACGCCGGAGGAGATCCTGGCTCGTATCGGCAGCGGAAAGTTCTCACTCAGTGGAGGATACTGGACGTCTGTGTCTTCTGAGGCTAAGGTGGGGACGCTGACACCCTCCCCCATGCTGGACTGCACAATCAGACAGAGACACAATAGATTGGACAGAATGTCTCCTGAGCTGCAGATACTGAGACTGAAGTTACAGCTCAAGAGTCAGTGAATCAAGTGTGAAGGGTTTAGATGTTTAAAGATAAACTTCAGATTTAATTCAAATGCCAGTGATTGCACAGAGTTGCAGTGATATTCTCGCTGCCTCATCTTTACTCTGCAGTCACGGACTGTAACCGCTCTGTGACCTCTGACCCCTCAGGATCTGGTGTCTAAGATGCTGCACGTGGACCCTCACCAGCGGCTGACGGCAGGTCAAGTCCTCAGACACCCCTGGGTGACGCACAGAGACCAGCTGCCTAAGTACACCCTCAACAGGCAGGACGCACCGCACCTCGTCAAGGTGAGGCTCAGGTTCCCTCTTTCATTCCCCGTCCTCACCCTGAACGTCTGTTGAGTGGGTTTCATCTCCTGCGAGAAGAACGGACTGAGAGTCGCAGCGTTTATCTCCCACATTCAGAGAGGAAATAATTTAGCGTTAAAGGATGACTAATGGCCGTCTCTCTGTCTCCTCCCTCCAGGGGGCGATGGCCGCCACCTACTCGGCCCTCAACAGGAACGTCCCTCCGATACTGGAGCCGGTGGGCTGTTCCACTCTGGCGCAGCGGAGGGGCTTGAAGAAGATCACCTCCACCGCTCTGTGACCTTTATCCCCCCCCCACCTCCTCCCATCAACTCTGACCTCAATCTGACCTCTGCCGGACCCCCCCTCCCCCCTCCACCACCGCCGCCGCCGCCCCTCCCTCCTGTCCGGCGGTGCAGACTACTGATGGACCAGGGAACCGCTGACGCCAAATAGGAACCCTCCCCCTCCTCCCCCTCCTCTTCCTGTCCTGCACCTTAACGGACTCTCCTGATTGGATCATCTGCTGTCTCACTGTAGAGTCCCGGCTTCGCCCATCGACAGCCGGACCGGGCTGCGACGACAAACCTGACGACTCTTTCCCCGCCGCCGAGGCCCAGTCCTCCGGCGGCGTTTTTTGCTTTGGACAATCACAGCTGCCTCGTGAACCGCGAGACGCGTCAGGACGAGGAGAGTACTGTATTTATTACTTCCAGACTAGTGGGGATCCGAACATAGGAACATGGTAATCTAATGTATGCATTTAAAGGTCATCGTTATTAAACTGGCGTCCCGGTCGTGCGTAGCTGTAGATTTACACCTCAAGTCGCCTCTGAGATGACGGCGTCTGCAGAGCAGGACTGAGGGTGTGAATGAGGGCGGGAGGCCGCCGAGCTTCGATGCATCGCTGTTTGAGTTTTAAATTTACATAATATTCTCAAAAAATCCAGATTGGGAGAGACGACGTGTGAGCGTTGATGTTTCTGGGATAAAGAAAAGTCTCAGGAGCAGGATTTTATTTGGAAGATGAATTTGAGTTTGTCTCCGACTGCGAGTCTCCAGAACAAAATCTGAGCCTTCAGCCTGAGTCAGAAACTTTAAATCAAACTTGGATCTGACGTGAACATCGGCCGACTCGTGCACATCTCTTCAATAGTTACGGTCGGAGTCAGTGTGAAGGACGGAAAAAAGTTTCAGCGTCATTAAAACAAGTCAAAGCACAAAATGAGCAGGAACGAGCAGATTGGGCCTTTTTCACTCTAAAGCTACACAAGGAGCAAATATATTCTTGGACACCCCCTGGTGGCCACATTTTAAAATTGTATGCACTCTGTTAAGATTATAAAAAGGAACGACAGTAAAAGACGACAAAGACAATATTCACTTCCTGTGTCGACACCCGCTGGAATTAATTCAGAATCTTAAGTGTCATGATGATAAATCTCGTCGCTCGTGCAGATTTAACTCTTCAGTAAATTTGATTTCAAAGACTTGGGTGAGTTAGTTCCCCCCCCCCCCCTCACAAAACGAACAGCAGTATTTCATCATTTAGTTTGAGACCCATTTAACTTCCTGCTTCCTCAACCAATGGCTGGAGCGAGAACACTTGAACACGGACGACCTTCTGCACGAGCCGCCTGATCATCTCTGTTCTGTGCAGCCGACAGGGAACGGAACTGTAAATACAAACTTGTCGCGTAACTCAGGTTTCTATGAATCAAGACGATGCATTTTTATATATCGCAGAGCACAGACGTGGGGGATGGGAGAGAGACTTTTATCAGAGAGATTCTGGAGAATCAGAAGAAGAATTAAATTCCAAAACTCGATCGACGCATTTTGTCTTTATGGACGTCTTGAATCATCCTCAGACGCCTTGTTTTGGAATCTGACTCATGCTCAGTGATGAAGATGATGATGAGGTGTCATGACTGGGATGGACAGAATCATGTGTCAGCTGAACCCTTTAAAAACTCACCTGTGTAGCAGAAACAATAATTCAGGCTTCAGATCCTCACAGAAACATGTTTAAAGGCTTCGTTCACACAAACTACTGAAAACCTCTGCAACGCCTGAAGGTTAGTTTGACATCATGGGAAATCTTTTCTTTTTTTAAGATGAGAGGAAGACGAAGAAAGGCTCAAACATCAGATTTGATCATGTCAGAAAGGCTCAAACATCAGATTTGATCATGTCAGATAAGGAAAACTTTCACACCAAGCTGTTTCCAAAAGTTAAGAATGTTTTACAGTAGTTTGGGTGAACTGGTCCTTTAAGTTGAACTTGTAGGAAAACACTCTGATCAGGTCGTCAGGTCTCTTCGGTGGATCTCATCAGCGTGAAAGAATCTCGAGGAGTCGTGAACTGTGTCGGACTGAAGACGGCGAGCACTTAAAAAGAAAAGCGTGCGTTCAGGGGACTGATCAGAAACTGCTTCTTCCTCCGCTCGAGTCAGCATCAAGGGATAAAACCTGTGGTTTGATTTTATTTTCTACATCATATGAAATATATAAATGTTGGTCTTTGCCTCGTCTATCGATGTGCAGCTCTGGGATAAAGGAATGTAAAAGGAATGATTTTTTTCTTTCTCTGTAAACGGGAACAGCTTCTCTCTTCTTCTGTTTTCTGCTTCTGTCAGAGACGTTCGGCCCTGCTGCCAAGCCAGCGCTCTGTTTTTGTACCTGCAGCGAGAGTTGGACTTTCTATTAAAAGCAATAAAAAGAATAATCAGCAGAGGACGCACACTGACTCTCATTGATCACCTCAGTTTACAGGAGCTTTGTTAGAAACAAGTTCATCTGGAGGTTTAAATAATACATAATCAATACTTTATCAAAGTTTATTCTATATCACAGATAAGTGCTTGTCATGATTTACACACTTCATTGTGTTGTAGATGTTTGCTTTAATTATTCGTCTAGAACCTGATTCCACCTGCGGTGGATTGAAGTGATTGGACCACACCAGTGTATTTAAGGACATGTCACACGTCAGCACGGAAACTAACAGGAAGTCTGTGTTTTGACCTGTGAAAGGTTATAAATGTTTCTCAGGGTGTGAGAGTCCCAGGAGCACGATGAGTCAGGATCTGTGAAGCTGAACTTCATCCTGAAGCTTCCATCCAAGAAAATGTGTTCAGGACAAGTCTCCAAACACGAGAACCACGTGTACACTGTACATCTGTGGAGACGCCTGAAGACGTAACTTCAGACGCACCCGAGGACCTGACGGAAGACTTGGATTCAAGGTTTGTATGAATTTGAACGAGAGGACTGTGTCACCGTCTGTCTTCTTTTAAAAGACGTCAGCCTTGACTCTGAGAAACAGTTTTCAGACATTTCACACACGAAGCAATTAGACGATAACCAACAGGTTCATAATGAAATAGATTCCTGGTTCCAGACTCTCATCCATAAAAAACCATACGTGTGCGACAATCAGAAAACAAACGAGTGTAACAAGTCATTCAGGGATTCAGGTCATTCTGTCAGTGGTTTTTCCCTTTAATGACATTTAAAAAAAACATAATGCCAACATGAAACACAAGGTGTTTAAAATCAATGTTAAAAAACAACCTGGTGATTTGATTCTTATACTTTTTACTGCGTTTACCAAAGATATAAGATTGTAGTGTTTTTAATACAAGTGAAATCAAAATGTTTGAACTCAGAAAACAAGTCTATGATGTGAGAAAACCTTCTCAGTGAGCGAGTGGGCGTGTCTCCGAGGTTTCTAACACGTGACGGACGTGAGACTGAAGAACACAAATGTCTCAGGATGAAGAAGAGGAGCCGGAGACGTAGAAGACGTCCACGTGGAAAGACGAGGAGGTTCCAGATGTTTTGGTGATGAGGGCTGACGCCGTGTGGACGAGCTGAAAACAACAAACAACAACACTGATCAGAGTTTAGACGTCATGTCCCGCCTCCTGCTGCTCTACAGGCTCCGCCCCTCGCCTCAACGTTCCCCACATGTTCCTCATTTCAAACTTGTGTCAGACGTCACTCTGACAAACAGGAAGTCACCGAGCTGGTGAAACACTGACAGAAGTAAACGTGGAATCTGCAGCGTCAGAAGTCAGAGTCGTCTGTCGCCGAGTTATCTGTGTTGGTGAAGTCCTCGAGCGCCGGCAGGTGTTTGTCAGTCGTCTCCTGCAGCTGCTGCTTCTTCTTGTCGTGGTTTCTGTTGTGCACGCTCAGACCCCTCTCGGTCATTTCATAGATCTGACACTGGGCGCAGTAGAAGGGCGACACTCCCACGTGCCTGAACTGATCGTCCAGGTACGTCATGATTGTCTTGAAGCCTCTGTTACAGATGTTGCAGCGAGGGACGACGCCCGGATGCTCCTTCTTCAGGTGTCTCTTCAGGCCCAACTTGGACCCTTTGTACCTCGTCGTCTCTGCCGGGCAGAGGACGCAGGTGAAGACGGCGCCCTGGTTGGCGTGGCGCCGCGTGTGGGCATCAAACTCGATCTGAGAGCGAAGCGTTTGCTTGCAGGACGTGCAGAAGTACATCTTCTTCCCCTCCATCAGGTGCGTTTTTTTTAAATGAACAGCCAGACCTGACGCTCTCTTGAAGAATTTTGCGGGCGGTGGGCACAGTGTGCACACCAGCTGTTCTTTACCCGACTCCATCAGGTCGCTGTAGCTCTCTCCGAGCTCTAACACGCTCTTATTGCTCAGGGTTCCCTCCTCTTTCACCCCCTCGTCTGTTCTCATCTTCCTCTTCACCGCCTGCCTCAGCCTGGATGGCGTGGGAGTTTTGGACGTCACCGGTGAAGGAGCCGTGGCGTTTCCTTTGACCACTGGAGGTCTGAGCGGCCGTTTAGCCGAGAGCGATCTATCTACAGACATGGTGAACTGGTAACTGTCCCCCTCCTCCTCTGGATTTGAATATTCAATAACATAAACGCTGTCCTCCTCCTCCTCCTCCTCCTCCACGTCCTCTGCCGGTATCGAGTATTCCACCTCGTAGTAATCCGCTGCTTCGCCTTTAACCTTTCCCCCGACGTCAGACTGCTCCTCTGCAATGTGAGTGTCGTCCACTCTCACCACGTTGATCTGGTCCATCCGGCCGGGTCCGTCCCAGTTCCTGTTTCCTGCCACGACGGGAGACGACGTTGCTTTCCCTGCAGCTCCGCCTCCGACCACCGGGTGCCCTGAAGACATCTGACACGAGAAACAGACAAATCAAAAGTTATAAACTGACGTTGAGTGGATTTAACAACATGTGACGCCTTCTGTTCTTTCCTTTTTGTGTCATTAAACTGATCTGTTATCAGCTCTGTAGTTCTTCTTGTTGACATTGTGAAGAAAAACACAAGCTGTAATAATATTTCTTGTCTCGACAGTAATAAGAACTGTTTCTATCACATGTTGTTATTAAAGTCAGTTATTTGAACATTGTGAAGAAAAACATGTGAGATAAAGTCTCTCGTGTTATTTTATTCCATCGTTTGGATTCGTTACAGAAAACAGATGAAATTCAATCAGAACATTTCAACGAAAACATCAATATTAACATTTAAAGAAGGAAACGATGAAAACAC